ACCGGGCCTCCCTCTCCCCCTCCTCCCGCCAAGCACCGACAGTCTCGAGGGGCCAGCCGCTGGAAGGGGCAAGCCAGCGGCACGAGGGCTTCAGCCACACAACTACCATGGGAACGCGACCCACACAAAGCACCAAAGTTAGGCATACCCCCCGGCGCAGTGTCCCCCGCTATGTGTCGCCGTTCGTCGGGGCACGCAATCCTGTGCAGTCAGGGCAAGTGGGGGCGGGGCGGACAGCCCAGAGTCTATACCCTGGGATCTCTCCGCCCAGTCCGGGGGTGCGTCGAACCTTCCATCACCCTGTCGGAAGCGGCGTGCCGGTGGAGGCACGTCCGGGTTTTGGAAGTAAAGATATATTACTTTTTTGAGAGCCTGACCGACCGACCGACCGACCGACCGACAGACAGACAGACAAAACAGACAGACAGACAGACAAACAGACAAACAAACAGACAGACAGACAGACAGACAGACAGACACACACACACACACACACACACACACACACACACACACACACACACACACACACACACACACACACACACACACGCTCGCTCGCTCGCTCGCACGCACGCACGCACGCACGCACGCACGCACGCACGCACGCACGCACGCACACATACACACACACACAATCTCACACTGGGAGAGAGAGAGGTTTGTTTGCACACTCTCTGGTCACTGCGAGAGCGGGGAGGGGGAACCGAGAGCTTAACAAGAACATGCAAACGCACACGCCGGTCGTGTCAGGGCCTGCAAACTGCGCAACGACTTCTGGCAAGGATCTTGCAATTTAGTCGTTTGAAGTTCTGGGCGGCCACGCCTCGACCTTCTTGGGCAGCAGCTGGTTCGACAGGTCTTCTCCGTGTCCTAGGCAGGCGTCTTCGCCCTTGCCCCACGTGAAGACGGGGTTGTCGGCAGTGGTGGCGATGCTGTGGCTTCGTCCAGCCGACAGAGCGACGACGCGCTGGCCAGCAAAGCCCTCCACCTTCTTCGGCAGCAGCTGGTGCTGCTCGTCGCCGTGGCCCAGCAGGCCATAGGCTCCATCGCCCCAGCTCCAGACACTGCCGTTGGCGGTGATGGCAAGGCTGTGGTACTCTCCAGCCGACACAGCGACGACGCGCTGCCCCGCAAAGGCCCCGATCTTCTTCGGCAGCAGCTGGTTCTGCGTGTCGCCGTGGCCCAGCCGGCCAAAGGCTCCACCGCCCCAGCTCCAGAGGGCGCCGCCGGCGGTAAGGGCGAGGCTGTGACTGGCTCTAGCCGACACAGCGACGACGCGCTGGCCAGCAAAAGCCTCGACCTTCTTCGGCAGCAGCTGGTTCTGCGTGTCGCCGTGGCCCAGCCGGCCAAAGGCTCCAGAGCCCCAGCTCCAGACGGCGCCGCCGGCGGTGAGGGCGAGGCTGTGGCCGCCTCCAGCCGACACAGCGACGACGCGCGGCCCAACAAAGGCCTCGACCTTCTTGGGCAGCAGCTGGCGCTGCTGGTCGCCGTGGCCCAGCCGGCCACCGTCACCAAAGCCCCAGCTCCAGAGGGCGCCGTCGGCGGTGATAGCGAAGCTGTGCGCGAGTCCTGCCGAGACAGCGACGACGCGCTGGCCAGCAAAGGCCTCAACCTTCTTTGGTTGCCACTGGTGCTGCCCGTCGCCGTGGCCCAACTGGCCCAAGGTTCCACCGCCCCAGCTCCAGACGGCACCGTCGGCGGCGAGGGCGAGGCTGTGCATGAGTCCAGACGTCACGCTCACGGCGCGCTCGCCGCCCAGCGGAGAAGGGAGGCGGGTCGGCGTCTTGAGCTGCGTCACGCCCTCACCGTGCCCGAGCAGCCCTTGGGCGTAAGCCGGCGCCGTGCCGCACGACGAGAGCCGCCCCTCGCCGTCGATGAAGACGCTGTGAGACTTGCCCGCCGCCGCCCTCGCCGGCGGGCTGGACTCGCACAGCAGCGCAGCGAAGCACAGCCACCGCACGGCACAGCTCTCGCCCTCTGGCTGCGCCGGCAGCTCGAAGCCGCGCTCTTGCGCCCACAAGCGGATGGCATCCTCTGCGAGCGAGGCGTAAAAGAGCAGCGAGACGGCCGCGACGCGAGCGATTTCGGCGGGGTCGCAGCGAGAGACGACGCGCAGGAGGAGCTCCGTGGGGAGGTCGAGGAGGCGGGCGGGCGGCGGCGTGCTTGGCGAAGGCGCGGCGGAGGCGGCGGGGGCGAGGCGGCGCGAGCGGCGGCGCGGGGCAGACATCGCGAGCGGAAAGGAACACACACGCCTCTCTCATCTGACCAGCGATCCCACGACAGCGATTGTGATCTGTGATCTGTGATCTGTGAGGGTCCGCCCGCAGGCGCATTTTGTATACCGAGGCGGTGCCCGGTGCCGAACCTGTCGGACCTTGAGACAGCGCTGTAGATCCCTGGGCGAGGGTGGTGGAGAGGGCAGTCCGTCGGCGCCAAACCACCTCCCACCGAGGTGGGCAGGTTCCACGCGTTCCCGGACCGCCCCGTTGGAGGTAGGCCGCTCGTCTAGCCAATCAGCCTTAAGCGAGCGGCCTGGCCGTTGGAATGGCCCAAGACCGGTCCCCGTCGGGAGGGACTCTGGAAGAGGAGAGCAACCAGGTGCCCGGGGGCGTCCCGCCCACATCCGGATGACCTCTCCTCCTTCGACCAGCCGTCCCCGTGGTGGTCACGCGGCCTCTGGCTGGAACGGGATCTACCTCGCAAGCGAGTCACCCGGGCCGGCGCGCGTCTTCCGGGAGAGGGGCGGGAGCGAGGGACCTCCTTAGTAAGCCGGCATGCAGGCGCATGCACGGCCGTTCAGAAACTTTCCCGGCCGCTGGAATGGCTGCGCTCCCGCCCCTCACGCCGGGTTGAGGGGAGGACGACTGTCTCCGCAGGCGGACCTCAGTTACGAGCCGCCCTCCCCTCGAGACGCGAGGCCAGCGCACTCGGGGCCGAGCCCCAGCGTGCACCGTCCCACACGCCTCACGCGGCCTCTGGCTGGAACGGGATCGCAAGCGAGTCCCCCAGGCCGGCGCGCGTCTTCCGAGAGAGGAGCGGGAGCGAGGGACCTTCTTAGTTGTCCGGCATGCAGACGCATGCACGGCCGTTCAGAAATTTTCCCAGCCGTTGGAATGGCTGCGCTCCCGCCCCTCACCGGGCCGCGAACGGGTAGTAGACGTTGGCGCCGAAGAGGGAGGAGTCGCCGAAGGTCGGGTAGTCGTCGGTCATGCGGGGGGAGGAGGAGTCGGCGAGCAGCAGGGAGAAGAAATGCCTGAGAGGGTGGGAGGGAGGCGTGAGGCGCAAGGTGAGGGGCGTGGGGGCGCGGGGCGCGGGGCGTGCGTGGGACGCGAGGCGTGAGGCGCAGGGCGTGGGGCGGGAGGGCGCGGGGCGCTCGAGTGAGGGCAGGGTGTGTTGTGTGTGTGTGTGTAAATGTGTGTGTGTGTGTGTGTTGGTTTGTTTGTGCGAGAGCTGGGCAGGGCAGGGCAGGGCGGCGGCGAGCGGCGAGCGGCGAGCGGCGTCGGCGAGATCGGCGACGAAGAGAGGCGATGGTGACGTACACGGCGGCAGTGTTCACGGCAGCAGCGCCGGTGGCGGCCCCGCGCAGCGGCGGCGGCGCCCTGAGTGAGGCAGGCTGCCCTGCACAGCCTGCTGGGCACGCTCCCGCCGAGCGGCGCGCCATGCGGGCCCGCCGCGGGCGACGCGGGCGGCGAGCCGACACGCGTGTCGCAGGCGTAGACAGCACTGGCGAGGCGAGGCGGCTGGCGCCGGTCCCGGAGGCGGCTGCAGGAAGAGCAGCGAGGCAGAAGTCACTGTCCAAGGCGTACTGAGCAGGCTGCCATCGAGCAGCGCGCCATGCGGGCCTGCCGCCGGCGACGAGATTGGAGAGCCGACAGGCATCGAAGAGGTAGGTACTGAGGAGGGCCATCGCGCCCGAGGCGGTCCGCGCCGGCCCTGCAGGCCGTCTCAGAGAGCCTGGCGAGGCTGTACAGAATGCCAAGAGCATACTGGGCAGGCTGCCGTCGAGCGACGAGCCATGCTGGCTCGTCGCAGGCGATGAGGTCGAGGAGCCGATCGGAGCGTCGCAGAGGCTGCCGACCACTGCCGTTCGCCCTCGGGCCCAGGGGTGGAAGGCAAGCTTCCTGGCGTTTCTGGCGAGCGTCCAGACGTCGCAGAGCATCCGGCAGGCGCGCAGCGACCCAAATTTTTGCTCACCGCACGGCCGTGCGAGCCGTCGGTCGGTGGTGATGGTCGGCGTCGGCGCGCGCCGACCGACGCGGCGGCGGTGGGCGTCATGTGGCGGGCGTGGGAAAGAGCATTGTCCGAATTGCGGCGGACGTCCCTCGGCTCCTTGGATGCTGAAGGGGCTGACAGTGGGGACGTGGCCCCGAGTGGCGTAGTGCCGTACGCTCACTTGGGATGTGTGGCAGCCCAGCTCGCTGAGTGTCTTGTGAGCTTGTGTGTGTCTATCTATGTGTCTCTCAAGCTCGTGCCGTCATCTCCTGTCTCGCGTTTGTTTCCATCCACTGAAAGGGAGGAAGAACACGTCCACTTGGGCTGTAGCAGGTTTGCCTCTCGCACCCCGTCTGTTTTCCTTTCCTTTTCCCTCTACAACACCCTCTGTGTACTATTTTCCCGGGAAAACTGCGTGGAAATCGTCAAATTTGGGCTCTGAGCCGAGTATAGTCTGAGGCTGGTTTGGGCCCAAAATCAGCCAAGTTTTAGGCCAAATCGGCAAAATGCCGGGAATTTCGCGGAGAACCCGTGTATACCTGGAAATTACCCTGCGACCGCCTGGGTATTTTGTCGATTTCCTCAATTTTGCCTCAGACAAGATTTTGAGAGATATTTTTAGTGTTCAGATTTTGCCCCAGACCAGCTCTCAGACTCAGCTCTCAGGGAAACTCGCGAGTTTCCAGAATGGAGCACCAAACACCCTTGAGCACTTGAGCACTGGATAGGGTCGATTCCGCATGGTACGGGACCCCTCGATCGTCTCGCCCTCCCTCACTGGTGTGTTCATTGGGGGGGGGTCATAACAAACACGGTACAGGATCGAGGTGCACGCTGCCGAAGCAGTGTCGTCCCCCCTCTCCCCAACGGCGATGGCGGTGTGACCGATCGAGCTACAAGAGGAGCTTGTTCAGCAGGATCCGGGGTAGTCAGATGCACTACCTCACTGGGCCTGAGATCACCGTACGACGCCTCCCATCACCGTCTCGGGTTTGTGTGGGGTCGAACCACTCCGGGATGGGCAAGCCCATCAATTTTCATGGTTCATTGTCCAAAATTCCTGTTGTGCAAGAGGGGAGGGGGCTCTGACGGAATGTGTGGCGGGAGAGGGCAGGGAATGGGCGCAGGGGAGGGGGGGGGGGGGGCTCAGCCGTGCAAAAAGCATCAATTAATAATAGTAATGAAGAAATAATGCTCGGCCGTTCATGAAGTCCGTCTCGATCTGGAGGAGACGGGTCAACCCCGTGAGGACCAGATCAGGTTCACATTGTCGTAGCCGGAGGGGATGTTGACCGTTAGCTCTTGGGGCCACCTTTCCGCTTTGGTTTTTTTCCCACTGACCACTCGGGCAACTTTTACCAAATGCCAAAGTTGCACTTCACCACTCGGGCAAATTCGATTGCATTTTACCACTCGGGCAAACTCGATGAAACGGGCGGACGGAAAACGCTTTTGCGGCAGCTCGCCCGAGAGCTATGCATGAAGCGGCCGGCGCGCCACCGCAGCTCACCCATGGAGTGTGCGGAGCGGCTCAATCCACTGGCGCAGCAGCATCGCGACCCATTCTCCAAGCACGGCCTCTGGCGTTGCGATTGCACAGAGAGCGAGCAATATAGTCGCCAAAAACACTGTTCTGTGTGCAGCGGATCTCCATGGCGGTCGCGCCCAGCGAAGGGACAACCGCAGGCCTCGGATGCTCGCCCGGAAGCGGTCCCACCGTGCGAGTTGCAGCCCCGGAGGTGGCCGACCCAGCCCACCCCCAGAGAGGCATGCCCAGGGTCAGGCATAGAAGGGGGGGTGTTTTTCCGTCCGTCCAATGCTCGTCAAACACCCTCTGTTTTCCCTGGAAATTTCCGGAAACGCAAAGTGCTGGGGACCCTCTGTTTTCCTTTTTGTTTGCCGGAAAACCTGCTACATCCCAAGCCGCAAGCGTCCACCCATCGCGGTCCGCGCTGGTGTCCAGTCCGAGCCTGACTGTTCTTCGCCTTCCTATCTATCTATCTATGGGGTCTGTTCACACACTGTTTACCACGGTTAGACCCTATGCAATAGGTAGGCTACACGCGGTCCCGTTTTGACCGCCCTCCCCAGCGTCCGCGCTTCCCCCTCTCTCCTCCCTGTGAGCTGTGTTTTCAGGGGCCTACCTATTTTCCATGTTGTGGCTTCTCTCACACAGTACATACGGCTCGGAGCTCGGCGGCATATGTCAGCGCGTTTTTGCTCGGAAATTTTACAACAGAGCTCCCTCCGAGCTCCATGCGGCAAAAAGAATTCGGGCACCCCGCGTCATGAGCGGCGCCGGCGGCCCAGCCCTGCTGCCCGACCTGGCACGGGGCGATCTGGGCTCGCTGCTCGCCCTCCTCTCCGGGCGACAGACACGCGGCAGGCTCGACGCGCGGCACCCGACCGAGAAGCAAGACACGCTGCTCACCTGGGCCGCTCGTCACGGGCAAGCGCCGAGGCGGTGCGGCTGCTGCTCGAGGGCGGCGCGAGCGTTGGGGCGGCTGACGGGGACGCCTCCGCTCTCTTCCTCGCGTGCGAGGGGCCACCTCGAGTGCGTCCGGCTGTTCCTCGAGGCCAATGCGGCGGTCGGCCAAGCCCAGGCAGAACGGCGCCACGCCGCTGCTCATTGCAAGCCAGGAGGGTGAGCTCAGCTGCGCCCGGCTGCTGCTCGAGGCGGGCGCGGTGGTCAATCAGGCCGATGAGGGCCGCGGCAGCGCTCGGCCTGCCTCGCAGCGTCGAGCAGCGTCTGCGGGTCGTTGCCCGAAGAGTGGGCGACCAGCGGGCAGTCGTCGGCTGGCGCTCCACCTCCAGCAGCGGGACGGCAAACTCCTCGGACCGGATCATCGGCGTGTAGCATAGCTGCGCGCTGTGCCGCCGAGCGAGGAGCCGGAAAGCCAGCTCGCTCCGGGGCGAGGATAAGCCGACGCGGCGGCAACGGCTGGCGCGGCGGAGGCAGCGCGGCGGAGGTGGTCAGCTCCCTGCTGAAAAACGCAAAATCGAAAAGACAAAAAAGAAATCGCTTCGCCTCGACGCAACTCATACAGAAGACAACCCCGTGACAACCCCGTCTTAACTTCCCGCACGCCCCCCTTCTCCGAATCTACCCCTCACATCTCGAGCTCGAACCCTTCCCGCTCGCTCACCGCATCGCGAATCGCTTTCTCTCCCTCGTCGCCCAAACTGTTGAACAGCAGGTTTTTTTTTCAGCTTGGTCAGCACCCCTGCTGAAAAACGCAAAATCGAAAAGACAAAAAAGAAATCGCGGCCACCTCGACGCAACTCAAAGAAGACAACCCCGTGACAAACCCTGCTGAAAAGTAAAAAAAGAAAACTCGGGTCGTGGTACAGAATACTGAAAGCGCTACCACGTAGAGTACAAGACTGTCCGATTTCATGCACCTCCCTGCGCCGACTTCAGAGCCCACTCACATCTCGAGCTTGAACCCTTCCCGCCCGTTCACCGCATCTCGAATCGCTCCCTTCCCTTCCTCCCCCATTCTGTTGTACTCGAGGTTGAGGGTGGTCAGCACCCCGTTGCCCTCGAGCGCCTTGCCGAGGACGGCGGCGCCCTCGTCGCCGATGCTGTTGTAGAATAGGTTCAGGTTGGTCAGCACCCCGTTGCCGCGCAGCGCCCCGGCGATCGCGGCCGCGCCCTCGTCGCCGATCTCGTTGTACATGAGGTTGAGGGTTTTCAGCACCCCGTTGACCTCGAGGGCCTTGGCGATCGCGAGTACGCCCGTCTGCACTGCATCGACCAGCTTCAGGTCGCCGTCGGAGTCCACGCCCTTGCTCACGACCATCTCGCGCCCCTGGTACATCACCTTAGCCCCGACCTCCTTGGACTCGCCCTCGACCTCGCTCGCCTTGATGTAGCCGGTCTCGCCGCCGATGTTGTTGTTCGACAGGTTCAGGTCGGTCAGCACCCCGTTGACCGAAACCCCCGCCGCGACGACCGCAGCCGATGCGGGTCCGAGGTCCTTGCTCGACAAGTCGAGCGACGGCACCGCCTCGCGCCCGCGGAGCTGCAGCGGGTTGAGCGGCATCGCCCCCTCCTCGCCCACGCTCAGCGCGACGAGCGTGTGCGTCTTCCGCACCGCGCCGAGCAGCGCCTCCCGCACGCGGCCGCACACCTTGCCCCAGTCGAGCGTCAGCGACGTCAGCGCCGACGGCTCCGACTCCATCCACGCGACCACCGTTCCCACCATCCCGTCATCGACCAGCTTCAGTTTGCCGTCCTCCTCGTCCTCGGAGTCGCGAGTCACGCCCGTGCTCACGACCATCTCGCGCCCCTGGTAGATCACCTTCGCCCCGACCTCCTTGGACTCGCCCTCGACCTCGCTCGCCTTGATCCAGCCGGTAGTCCCAAGGGGGAACCCCGTCAAATCGACGCCGCTGGCCTGCAGCGGCAGTACCGTATCCATCGCCGCGGCAAGCCCGCTGCCGCCGCCGTGCTGCATCGTCGCCGCGAGCACCGCCGCGCGCTTCACCTTGAGCGCATCGCCCACCGCCGCTTGGAAGCGCAGGTCGTTGTTGTACGCCTCAGCCTCGTCGCCGAGCGGCGCCTCGAGACGCGTGTCCGCCGCACCGGCGTCCGCGCCGCGCTCGAGGCCGAGGTGGGCGCGCACAAGTTGCGACGCCTCCTCCGCTGCCTCCCCAGCCACCCCCCGGCGCACCTCCGCCGCCATCTGCGCGCCCATGTCGGTGAGCAGCTTCTTGCGCTTGCCCGCCACCTGCTCGAGCGTGAGCGAGGCCATGTTGATGGAGAAGCTGCTCTGGATGACGAGCGTGCTGCCCTCCACGCCCGTCCACCGCACCTGCAGGGGGGGAGAAGGGGCAGGCGATGAAGGAGAAGGCGGAGGAGGGAGGTGGAGCGAGGTTGACGCACCTGCAGGCCCATGAGCGGCGGCAGCAGCGTCTCCCTCTCGTGCGGGTACTGCGAGAGCCACGCAATGTCGGCGCCGCGGTCGATCATGCCCATCCCGAGCTCGAGCACCGTCGACGCCTTGCCCTCCGCGTAGTGCACCGCCTGCGCGCGGTCGGTGGTGGTCGACGAGAAGCCGTACTCGACGCCGCCGCGGAAGCCCAGCGCGTCCGGCTTGAAGAAGGCTTCCGGGAGCGTGGCGCCCGCCCAGCCGCGGTAGAGCGGCGTGATCTTGGTCAGCGGCGACAGCTTGACAATGATCGAGTTGATCGCGTGGATGGTGGTCGAGTACTGGTTGTGCCACGTCCAGCGCACCGCGGCCTCGCCTTTGCCCGCCGCCGTCGCAGCCCACTCGCCGAGGTTAAGCAAGCCGCACTTCTTCTGCAGAAAGGGCACCTCCTTCTCCGAGGCGTACTCCAGCCGCACCGCGCCGTTGGCGCCGCGCGCTGAGGAGAAGCGAAGGACGCCGTTGTACTTCTCGTACATCGGCCCCGTGTACAGCCGGCCGGCGACCAGCTCCTCCTTGGTGAGCGGCGCCTGCCCCGCCTTAACGAGCTTCGGGTTCATCTCGTCCGCCATCTTCTTCTCGTAGACCGAGAGCGGCTCCGGCTTGCGGCACCACTCGGGGTGGGCCGTGCGGAAGTCGCCGCCGCGCTCGGCGTAGCGGCCGTCCTGGTCCTCGACAGGCGCGACGACAAACTCCCACTCCAGCTTGGAGGTCGCGCCCTTGATGCCGTTGGAGGTGTCGAACGGCACGTCCGCATCCTTCTTCTCGCAGTGCTCCGTCTCCATGGCCTTGAGGAGCGAGCCGTCCACCATGAGCGGCGGCCCGATGATCTTCTCGAGGCCTGCCCACAAGTCAGGGGACGGGGGTCGCTGGTAAGAGTGGGCGGGTAGGATAGGTAAGCTACTGGCGTGCAGCACGCCTCCGTAGAACTGCTCGACGCCGCCGAAGCCCATCTCGCCCTTGAACGCGTCGCCCTCCGCGGCGAACTTGGCGTTCAGCGCCGCCCCGGTCGCGGCGCTTTGGTCGCGCAGCTTCTCAATGGCGGACCAGAGGGGAGCAACGAGCCCGCTCAGCTTCTCCGCCTCGAGCTTCCCCTCGAGGTCGGCGAGCGAGAGGTTGCACACGTAATTGAACGGGTCGGCTCCGGCCGGCGCCTTCAGCGCCTTGGCCACCACCTCGGTGAGCTCGATGGAACGCACCCAGGCGGAGACGCCCCACTTCGTGGCGGGCTGCGCGTCGACCTGATAGTAGATAGAGGAATTACTGGGGATGGTGGCCTGGGGTGGTGGAAGCTTGGGGGGCTTGGGGGAAGGGGGGCCGGGGGGGGTTTGGGGGGAATGTGGGGCCGGGGGGGGGGAACCT